TATATCTTCTATATATTAAAAGTGGCTATGTAACGGAATTTCTTGTTTTTAACGGAAAAACTAACGGAACTTGTTGTTTTAACGGATTACGTAACGGAATTTCTTGTTTTAAACAGGCAGTTGCACCTTCTTTCAATGTTTTTATCATAACTTTGTATTCCGATATCCGATTGAAGCGATTAAAAATGCGTTGGAAAGCTAACTCATTTGGCTACAACTTTGATTCAGACATCATTTTCCAATTCGATCACTTTCTATACCAAAAATAGGTCTCAATATGAGACTAAAACATCGGAGCATAACTTTTCGGTTGTAAATTGATTTGTGATCATCTTTTGACTAAATTTGATTCCATTGACGTCTTCATTTATCCAATTGTCTCCGAACACTCTCAAATCTTCATCGTGAGGTTCGGCACAACTTTTAAGTATTTACATTTTAGTCCCCGAACTTGGATCCCTTACAATTTAGCAATTTCTCCAAATTTGTCAACTTTTGCTTATTTTCTTCGATCTCACCAACTTACATCACAACATCAAAATTACGCATCTAATTATTTATCAATTACATAAACATTACATCATTAATTATTTAATTAACCAAAAAAATTACATCTTTATTAATAACAAATTAATTCTTAAACAAAACTATTAAATATAAACTAGGCAAACGTGCATTGCCTAGTTTTTTTTTTTTTCAAAGATATTTTAGTCCTGTTTGGTACGGATTAAAATCATATTTTAATCTAAATCAAAGTCAAACAATCAATATTAACCACATCTTTCATGAGTCCTATAACTTTTCAACCACACATTTTAAAAACTTATATCACAATCTACTAAAAATCTAATTTTAATCCCTACCAAACGCCCTCTTATTTTATAATAATCATAAATAGTTTTTCAATGTATGTACTATTTTTAATCTATAAAAGACTTAAAAGTAAGTCTTTCATCATGACCTATGCTTAAAGGGCTTCCTCAAAATTCCACCATGTTTCTTTTCCCTATTTGAGAATAGGCATAAATTTCTTGTCATTATTTTGAACTGATCTCTACTTATTTCCACTATTAAAGATTCATGAAAGATTACAATTGAGTGCACATTTTGGTTCGTGCAATTTCAACCCACCCCACAAAATTATTTAAAACATTTGCAGAGGCAAACAAACAAAAATCTTTGAAAGTCTCCTACTGTTCATGATTATCATGGATATATTCCATGTTTTTTGAGGTTAAACGGGGCCACATAGTACATTACAAAATTGTTAATTAATCTTAAATAAATTCCATAGTACGTTACCACATTACAGTAGTGTTAATTGATCTTAAACGAATTCTATTCAGTGAACGTTACTTATTACTTTCTCTTAATCTTTACCAAACTACACTACAGGTACAGAAAATGCAGCCACAGAAATGCACCAGAATAGACACGATAGGGGGATGGGTGGTTTTTTCTCTCAATATTTTACTCACATGGGGCCCACCCCGTGTGAGTATTTGTATTTTTTCTGTACATGAGGAAAAGTTCATATCTTTACCGGAGTCCTGATATAGTATATAGTATAAAGAGAGTCGTGTCGACCCAATAAAATCACATTTTTTTATATCTATATGTAGGCAATGGCTTGGTATCAAGAAGTTTTACATAGTATGCCATGATCCTCCTCCCTATCCCCAAGGGCACGGATCGCGGGCAATCAATGCATGTCCTAGTGTACACTTCTAATTTGATCTACTCTGTATGGAATGGAAGGTACAGTAGAAAGCAAATTTTAATAAGAATATATGCAATAGCCTGCTGCTAACCTAAAATTTTCTTGAACTGTTAATAGTCAGCATTGTTCTTTTTCTCGGGCCATATATTCTTCTTAGTTTTATTTCAGGTCTGTTTCCATAAGTAGATAATTAAAGTTCACTTGTCTTCTACTTTATTGGTATCTAGTCATTTTCAGAAGTGAAATCTTTCTTCAGATTCTCTCTCTCCCCCCAACTTAGCCCTTGTTGGAGCCTATTTTTAGAGAAAAACTTCATTTTTAAATGGTGATTTTTGAAGAATGTGTGGTAAAAAAAAAAAATTATTTACGTGTAATATTATTTTATTGATGCAGTTAAAAATAAATTTTGAAAAAATGATTTTTCGATAAAATGAGGCTGCTAAGCCCATTTGAGAGAGTGGCCACCCCTTTGATTATATGTATATAAGATCATCCTTTCTATTAGAGTCCTTCAGCTTCATAGTTCTCTCTCTCTCTCTCTCTCTCTCACACACACACACAGAGAGACATGCTAAACCAGGATGTGTTTGATGATCAAGATAGGTCATATCAGCTTGGATTTTTTCCTGTCCATACAAATTTTACATCTCTTCCATTTTGGTGCAATAAAACTTTTGCAACAATTCCTCCACTTCAAGAAGATGATGAAGCACCACTTCTCTATTCTGAGCCTGTAATTCCAAAGCAAAAAGAAGAATTCACATCTAGCTTTGCAGGATCCCCTATTTTCTCTTTGCAGAAATCTTCTGCAAATTACTGGTAAATTAGGATAATGACAGTTAAATATTTAAGTTGTGTCTTCAACACGGGTCAAGTTCATTTTTTCTTTAAAAACCCCAACGCTTTCACGATTTTCATAATGGATGGTCACAAGAATTGAATTCAGGTCTTATGTGTGCTATGGTTTCATGTCAATTTCCCTCTAACAAGTTAAGTTGTCCTCAACACATATACGCACACAAGAATGTGTTTTGAATGCAGATTTTCTGTGATAATTGCAGGATCAACGATTGCATGAACATGAAGAGAAACATAGTTAATGAAAATCTTGGAGTTTTGCCAATAAACATGAAGAAGATTAAGTCAAGGAAAAAAGTGAGAGAGCCCAGGTTTTGTTTCAAAACTATGAGCGATGTGGATGTTTTGGACGATGGTTACAAATGGAGAAAGTATGGCCAGAAAGTCGTGAAAAACACCCAACATCCTAGGTTATATTCATCCTTTCATAGCTTTTATTTTTAATTAATACTAATAATTCATCTAACTGAGTTGCATTTATTATTGGACAGTAGTGCACAGTGTAAGGAAGTAGATTTGAGTTTCTTTCTTTCCTAATCCGGTCGATAATTGTCAAATCTAGCATACCAAGCTAATAGGTATTATATTTGATATAAGTTTATAGCCTTCCCACGTAGGAGATGGCATAAACTTGGTCTGGCTAATGTCTTGGATTAGATTTTGATGGTAAGGGTTCATGGAACATAATCAAAAGGAAAGAAAGCACATGATGCGATGAAGTCGTATTAGTGACACCATTGTTACCCCGACTTTCCTAAAGATGTAAGAAATACTTACTTTTATAGATGCGAAGTGGTAGGCCTGCACCGGGTAGGTAGCATACCGGAAGAGCCAAGAGAAAGGTTGGGTCATTTGATGGAAATGGAAGATCGTAAGCAAGGGCGGAGTCAGGGCTGAATTAAAAAAGAAAAAATATGTGTTGGGCTAACACATAGAAGAAAAAAATTTCCACAAAAAATTATTTTTCACATATGAAAATGACTTTTTGGGCTGTAAAAATCCAATCGGGATGGCCCGGGCCAGTCCCCAAAACCCGGCCCTGACCTTGAGATTGCATTTCTTAGTACAAAAGTCAGGTTCTTGGAAAGAATTACATAGCAAAGAATACTGGATAAAAGTGAATGGTGGGTTAAGGAATTCAAATTTGGGATGCAATCTTAATCAATATCCATCACCATGCACAATACTGACAATGTGTCACAGAATTTGAAATAAATGACACTCACTTTTTGGGATTTTATGTTTCAAATGAAGATCCCATCCATGATTTGGCTTTAGATTAAAAAGTAACTCTAACTTTTATTGTTAAATGATTACCATTGAGCTTTTTCCTCATCTTTTCCATTCATTTAGCAAAGTGCATAAACTTTATAGCACTCAAAACTCAAGAAAGAGCCCACTCTGTCTAAAAGCTATTATATATGATTATGAACTCAGTCACTCCATTTTCCATACACTTTCATCTTTTTAGCCTTTTTGTACATGTTTTATACTCAGTATTGGCTGTATGGTGAAAATGATAAAGACTTGAGATTTCGTATGGAAAAAACATCGAAAGGTCGAGTCCTTACATGTTAGTTAATTTTATTATAACTGTCCTACGAAGAATTTATCCCCTAAATATCCAATAATGTCCAATCCATGTGACAAACATTCATTATTGGCACTAGCTATAGCATGTTTGCTTACACATTGGCATACTATTAGCCAAATGAATTGCCAAGTATGAAAGGTACATGGTTGCTTCCAACCTTGACATATGCTATTTGATACATTGAATTGATTTGTTGTCTTGTACGGTGTTGTCATATTATATTACATTTCAGGTTCTAATAGAGTTCTTAAGGCCCGTTTGACATGCCTTTTAAGAAGTTAAATGGAGTTTTTGAGACAAAAAAAAACTATTTTTTGGACATGTTTGACTAATCTTATGACAGTATTTCTTCTAGTTTTCCTCATGAAACTTTTCTACAAAAAGCAAAAGTAAAAGCAAAAATCATGTCAAACGAGCCATTTTTCTATTATCATCAGTTAGTGCAGTACTGGAAATGATCTAGCGCAATGAATCTTTTAGTAAAAGTAAAGATGAACTGACATGATATGAAAAAAAATTAATGGAGGGCTGTATCACTAGTGTCTGAAAAGCTATAATTTGAAATTATGGAGGTGTGACTGTGCATTACAGGAGCTTTCTTTGAATGGAATCCTAAAACCATCCTTGGCAGTTCATGATCAGTCACAGTATCACAAACTGCAAAAGTTCTTAAGACAATACAAAGTCCATGCAATAAGTCATTTTGTAGCATCCTCCAAAATGATACTGTCTTCCATTTCAACCCTACAAGCCTTTTGACAGTCGAGATAACGACATACAATTTGTACGTAGTATGCACAATCCAAAATGAGCGATCTCCTATATATTTCGACTCTACATGGTTTTTCATAGTCGAGGTAACGACTTATGATTTATGTGGAAGTACAAAGTTTTTGGTAGGAATCCGTGTAGTGGTGAGTTACTTCCCCCATAAAATTTTGGCAATTTGAAAGAGAAGGTTACAACACTGAGATCTATTTATCGTTGATAGAAGTTAAGTGGAATTACGATAATAAATCCGGTTGGTGCATACTAACAATTTGGTAAACTATGAAGCTATTTCCTACTTGATGCGGTGAACTGAATCGAGATCAAAACTTATTTCATGGTATTTACACGAGGTTTCTCTTCAACATCAACTCTCCTCATCCATTTATGAAAATTCTGCACGTATCAGTTCTTCAATAAAAAAATATCTGAATTTGAGGAAATATCGATTAATATTGTACATATAAAAGATGTGCATACACTTTCATGCTACTAATATGTTCATAGTATGTATTTTGCAGGAGTTATTATCGTTGTACGCAGGATAATTGTCGCGTGAAGAAACGCGTAGAACGATTAGCAGAAGATTCAAGAATGGTGATTACTACATATGAAGGAAGGCACATACACTCTCCATCACATGATGAAGAGGATTCTCAAGCTTCATCTCAATTCAAAAATTTCTTTTGGTAGCATTGTTTGCAGTCTTTGTTGTACCCCCCGACTGTCAATTGTTGAGTATGACTAGTGCTTTCTATAATGGAAAAATATGGTAATAAAAAATTATATTTAAGAGTAAGTTGGGATTAGATTAACTTAACTTTCTATTATGTGACACGAACATCATTTCTTAATAAATTTTGAGGGTACACAAATTTTATTGAGATAATCTTTACTTTTTAATCTCAGGAAATTTTAAAATATTGGTACAAACAAGATTTTGATTCCTTTAATATTCAATGAGTACATAACAAAATATATTGCATGGCAAACTAATGTAATTTACAAAAACATTGCGTGTTAACAAGTAACGAAGACGTACGCTAACATAGAGATGTTGTTTTGATTTACGTCTCTAATACTGGATGGTATTTTTGTAATTTTTTTATTTTTTATATGAAAAACTTATACGTTCATGTAAATTACACTGGAGGTTAATGAATTTTCACTCTAGTTTTGATCGTGTAATTATATTTTTTTATTAAATTATCATATTGAAAACTTGATCATATGTTTGAGTAAATTACAATAGAGGTGACTGAACTTTCACTCTAGTTGTAATCGGGTCATTGAATTTTAATTTGAAGCAATTAAGCCACTAAGCTCTAATGCGCTTACTGAAATTAGTTGACTAAATCCGTCAAAATTAACTTAAAGGTCACTAGGCTGTTATTTTAGTTACAATCAGGTCACTAAACTTTTATCTAGTTACGATCAGGTCACTAAACTTTCATCCTAGTTGAAATCGGGTCCTTGACTGTCAAAGAAATCCTGTGAAATGAGTCCTAAACGAATTAGGTTGCCACGTGTCATACCTAAAACACAACTGGCGCAATTTCTCCCACCAGTGCTCACCAGTCCTGTCTTTTTCTCTCTATCTATGAAAGCTTGTTCCGATTCTCGTTGAGAAAGAGAACTTCCCCAAACTCAAGATACACGGATATGTGGATAGATAATATATATTCAAGCCAGCCGTTCTACGGTTTTGTAAAAATATTTGGTAAAGAAGATCTTCGATTTCTATTTGTTTACAATAATGGCGAAGAAAAGAAAATCCGATGCGACGAGGCTGGATGAGGTGGATAGAACCATGTACTCCACCTTCTGTAGCGCTGCTAACTCTCTCTCTCAGCTCTACAGCCAGGCTACGCACCACCAGAGACTCTCCTTTCAGGCCGGTGAACGCCACGCGCTGGTCAGTACCTTTCCACAAAATTTTGTCGGTTTTACTTGGTTTTTTTTTTTTTTATTGATCTTCTCTTGAATGGGTGTGCAATTTTTTTTTTTTTTTTGACGGTATTGATTTTTAATTTCACTTGTAAGGATAAATTGTATGCATGTTCGTGCTGGTCAGCACCTCTCCGACTCGACGCACACTTTTATGGGTTTCCTTTAATTCAGCTTTTTTTAAATGGTTGGTACTTCTTTAGGGAGTTGATTTTATTTTTAATTTCACCTATAGATATATTTTGACGATGTGTGGGAAATAGTTTCGTTTTGTGTTTTAATCGTCCTAAAATTTGTTGACCTTGTGATAATTTCGTGTAGGAATTTTAATAATTTGTAAAGAATAATAATCACTGGTATGCTGGTTCCTTTTCCACTAGGTTTGTACAATGTATCAGTAATTCAACTGCTCTTTGTTTATCATATCATATATACGGATTTTCATAATGTTTATTTCATTATTTGTTTATCATTTACGAAACCGTTATTTCGATGTGTGGTTTACAGTGTGGGTATTCGTAGCTGAAGTACAAAGCCATATTCCTAGTTTTCCATCCCCACCTCCCTTTCTCTGTGTTAACTGATAAACAATTGACCTTGGCCCATTATTTCCTATTTTGGCATAGGAGAAACTTTATAATTGGATGTTAAGACAACAAGAAGGTGGGGCAAGAGTGGCAACCGGGGATGTACTTGCATACATACAGGTTTTTTTCTTTTTGCATTTTTATTTACGATGTTTAATTAATATAGTGCTCGTCTATCCTCCTGCAAATTTATTGACTATGATTACTATACATTTGGTTTTATTTTATTTTTTTGTTGGTTCTCGTATGCTGCATTTCCTATCTTCTGCAAATTTTGTTTGCTCTGCTTTCCCATGATCTTCAGTGTTTAGAAATACTGGTTTGTTTTGCAATGATATTTGTTGACAAGGATAGTTATTTTTTTACTTTTGAATAATTCTTAATCATGGTGCCGTGGCCAATTCTGATAGTTGAAAGAGTAGGAGTGTGACAATGTACTGAATACTATAAAGATAGCCTAAAGTTATTATTTTTTTATTTTTTGCTGCCATTAAGCCATTGAAATTGGGCATTTGGTTTTGTAATTAGAATTAGATAGTCAATCCTTGTCTAAACTGTTAGAAAGATGTTATAGGAGTGTTTGACATTGAGTATTTTTATAATATATTAGTGTTCCACGGAAACTCTGAAGAATGGGGATATAGTAGGGATGTTTATGGATTGATGGTCACAAAATGGTTGTCTTACTATTTTTTAATTTTATTTTGGACTAAATTTCAACATGGAATTTCTATCTCAAATTCCTAGACAAATGATACATTATCTTTTAATAGGAAAATAGGCAGTGTAATGTTGTATGTTTTTATCACACAATGGAGAACTCTGTTTGCATAATGAAATTTGTCTGACAGCATTCCTCGTCTTTGTACAGATTTCTGTTTCTTTTCCACTGATATCTCTCTCTTAGAGATATCAGATAAATTTGTGATGATCTTCTTTTCTTGGCTTTATTTGTGCAACTACGATTGAATTTTTCAGGTTTACAATGAGAATGCTTGTTTTAAAAGAAGAAAACTTAATCTTGATGACTTGCATTTTGCTCGTTGTTGTATGAATTTTTCTAGGTTACATCGTTTGGAAAATCTTTCCTATCTAGATATTAGAGCTCTCCACGACTACTTGGTTATCAGGTTTCTCTAAATTCTTAATCTACCTTCTTTCTTTTTGGGACAAAATTTGGATCCACGAGGAAGTCATGTTTCACTATTTTGTTATGGAAAAAGTCGTGAAGGGCTAATGCTGAGGAAGCCAGTTAATTAATTTTTAATGCAGTGTCTTAGGAGTCGTGTAGCAGATTGGTACATATACTGTTAGTTAGTTTACCTAGGGGAAGTTGGTATAAAAGATAATGAGGCCAGAGGAGTTCAGTTGCCATATACATTGTAGACTGGAGGGTCACATATTCGCGACCACGCTAAAGAGTAAGGAGGTATAGACTGTTGTTTCTGTAGTAGACGATTATATATAAGAATTAAGGAATCAATTTTATGAGATTATGAAGTTTTAAGTAGAACTACCTGATGTCTTCCTAGAGCTATGTGCATTTGGTGAATTAAGTTTGGTGAACCCATTACCTATTATACTCTGCCCTTTTCTGGCTTATAGTTCTCTCTCTAGGTACAATAATTGAAAATCAAATTGCAAAAATAAAATAAAAAACTTTTAGGTCTGTTAAGGTAGCAGTTTGAAAACCTGGTCAATATTCACACATAGATTCACTCAGTGAAAGTACCGAGCACGCTGGGCTTGCCTCACTTCTCACAATGTTTTCAGAAAACAGGAATGATTTTAGTACCACTTCTCAGAATGGAGAACATAGTTAGATGCTTTTATGTTACCTTTTGTTGGGTAAGCAGTGGAGCAGTAACTGTTTGAGGGAAGCAGCAAAAAATTGTGCTCTATATTGTCCAGCATATCTGGCTATGTACACTAAAGTGTTAGTGTTTTGTGAATAACTTTCTAATATGTTATGGATTAATTATTCAAGACGCACTTGCAAAGTTTTCTAAATTTACTAATAACACAAGATTTCCAAATTATTAGAAAACACAGAGACAAAGTTTTCCAACATATTTGTGATGGAATTCTTCCAACTTCGTTCTAAACCTAGGGAGTTATTCCCAAACTTAATCCAAAGTCAAATTGGAGGATATCCTTCTTGTTATTGAGCATTCCCAAACTTAATCCAAAGTCAAATTGGAGGATATCCTTCTTGTTATTGAGCATTCTCAAATGTTTCTTAATTTCCACCAGGGGGTAGGGAGGGGGTGGCAGGGCTGGGCTTTAGCGCAACCCTGCCCCCCAAGGCCCATTAAATTTTTAGTGTAATATATATTTCTTTTGGAAATTTTTTTTTCTCTGGTAGAAATTTTTTTTTCCCTCTCCTGGCTCCACCCCTGATTGCTACTAAGCTTTCTGAAATGTTTCTTAATTGCCATTGGACTTTCTCAGATGTTTCTAAGTTGTCATTGAACTTTTCCATATATTTCTAGTTTCATTGAATTTTAAAAGTTATTTGAATTGCATTTGAACTTACCAAAATGTCATTACATCCATCATTTACCATGTTAAACATTAATGGTGTTGTTGAACTTACTGAAATGCTATGATGTATTGCCACTATAGATACGAGTTGGACATGTTGATACGTGATTTATTTATTTGTTAAATGTAGGACACGGCATGACAGTATGGGCCAATTATAAAACTAAATTTTTTTTGTTCTTTTATTTTTATAGTTTTTTTAGATTTTTTAATTTCTTTTAGTTTTTTATAATATAGTTTAAAAACAAGAATTCTTGTTTTTAAACTTTAAAGTGGTAGAGTTTCATTGAGAAACACAAAAATATATATTACTTTGTCTATTCAACTTTTCAAAGTGGTGGGTCCTATAAATAATTGAGAATCATACCTAATTTTACTTTTACGATTGCACAAATGGTCTTAGTAGTGAGCCCAATTTTTTAAAGAAACACATGATCTCCGACACTTTCCTGCAAACCAGCGACACTTTATTGCACACCAGTGACATCTAAACTCTAGATCCACACCGTAGGCTTGCAAAAATTAGAGATCAACTTTATTATTTACTTCGCCTTTGTTTTTTTGCCCTTTTTTGGTACTGTTTGAACATTTCGGCGTGTCGGAGATGTTTCCACAGTGAGTTGACAGCGTGTCGTGTCCAACACTTAAAAGAGTGAAAAAAATAGACACCCCACATGGCGTCTCCTACATGTGTCGGAAGCGTTTTGCGTCGAACACCGACTTGACGGTGCTTCACAGTCGAAATGTTATCCCATTCATCAGTTCAATTGCCACATCATGAAGTCTGTTACTTCTAAACAGCGAGTGACGGATGGCATTTTGGTAAGTTCAGTAACAGTTCATGTAACTTTTATTTGGCTACATGGACACATTTCGGAAAGTTCAGGCATCTTGAAAACCTTGTAAATCTAATGGCACTTGAAAAATATTTGAGAAAATTCAGTGGCAACTATGATTTTTAACTGATGAATTGGACCAAAATAATTGAAGATGCTTTGTATCATCAATCCAGCTTGAAAACGTTTTCTTTCAATCTCAAATCTTTCCAGCAAATTTTGTTATTAAGACGAGATTTATGCAACTTTTGGTGGATGTTGAACTAGTGGGAAAAAAGAATTCACGTAACTGGCTGCAATTTATTGGGAAGAAGGTTTAGATGGTTATTTTGTTGTTCTACTTGTTCAACTTTTTTCACAACTATTTCAAAGGATTCTCGGATCAAAAGTTCTAGAAGCTTACCTAGTACACCTCGATTCTAATTTGTTATTTGTCTCTTGAATACACACAAAACACTGTTTTTCATCTGAATTTATTTTTAATTTTTCAAAACCACTTAAGGTTACACGTTTTATTTATGACAAAAAACAATATAATAAAAATACTTACCCCCATCTGGAGACACTTCTTATGCCGTAGCCATATTTCTTCATCATTCGCTGAGTATAGTGTTTCCTTGGCTTGTGTTTACTTTTAGGAAGGAGATTGTGTAAACTTATTACTGAACCCTAAATTCGGCTAGATCAATCTTCGTCATAGTTTTCATGAATGTCCCCAAAAGCATCCCCGAAAAATACTCGTCCCTGGGTAGATATCTGTTATTTCTAATAGCATGTTTGATTAACAACTTTGCATTTGTTATATATCTATTCTCTCTGGTTTGCCTTTCAATACGGCAGAAGATAGAAAGATATCTTGTCCTTGATTTCGATTCCCAGTGCATATGTCAGAAATGTTATTTAGAAAATCCATATGTTATGACATAAATTATGTTCCTACTATGAACCTGGCTTACGTTGAATTTTCTCCATTGTAGTAAATTATAATGATGAAAGTTTTATTGATGAAGCTTCTTATATAGTTGTAAATCTGTTTGCCACGTCTAGAGTGCTTGTTTCAAGCATTCCCCTTTTTCCCATTCTTAATTATTTGATAAATTTGTAGAATGAGCTCGATTATGGGACACAGGAACTCTCTCAAACTGCAATACAATCGACTCACTCAGGAACCCCTATATATTCTGGACAAGGACTGCGATCTGGAAATCCTGACAATCAAACGAAAAACTCCATTTTCTCGAATGCACTCTCCAGTCCTGTTCGTAGGACTCTTCAGCACTATCACCTGACTCATGGGAGTTCCAATTCGAACAACATTATTCCTTCTGCCAACGGACAGAGAAACAATGAGAACAGCAGTCACCCAGGCAGGGACCCAAATCCACCAAGCTCTATTGACACTTCAATGGACATGCACGCAGATAGTCCTGGCCATGATTCTCCATACTGAAATTCGAGCCAGATTCAGAATTCCGAGAGTCGACACACTTGTGCAGAAAAGGCTGTGATAACCATGAATGTGATATTTCAAAGAAAATGTGTGTTTGATGTGGTCTGTATGGAATGTGGTGTGCTGTTGAGTGTTTTTCTTTTCATGTTGACATTTATGTAGTGTTTCTCCCTTCCCTTATCATTGCTTATTGCTCACTGATAGTCTCAATTCCAAAGATAATAAAATGTAGTTCAATTGTATTCTCTTCAAGATTGTATTTTGTATCTTGGAAATGACTTGGTTTGCAGTAAGGTTGTAAACATGTTCTATGTAATTGTGTTACAAAGCTCGATTTTTTATTGATCGGTTGTGATTGTTTTCCGACACCCAGGTTGTTTTAAGGTTGTAGATGGTGTTATTGGGGTTTGAAATGCCATCCCAAATGTCCCGATAGGTAGAAAAGAGAATATTCAAGGTTTGTACAGGCATATGTATAAAAGATTCAGGGTCTGCTAGAAAATGATGGATTTTGAAAAAAAGAAAAACGAAATTGTTAATTTGAAAGTTAAACGTTCATGCCATGTTGTTAGGTTGTACTTAATAAAGGTGCATTAGACATTTTTGGAGCTTTAGAAAGAAAAGGAACGTGAAAGAAAAGACATTAAGAGCATCTCCAATGCTTCAGTGAATTCGCTCAAATATAGGTCATTGTATTTATTGTTAGAATTACGAAGTATTGTAATTGATTCGGTATATTCTGGCTGTAATTTGTCTCTCCGAGATTGTCTGAAATAGAAATTAACTTCACTTCTTCATGTCGTCTTACATTTCAACATTTTCTAAAATTGTATATACATTTAACATAGTGTCTTGTAGGTGCTTCCCATTGCCATAGTATCTTGTTTATCTTAAAGGTAAAATTGATGGGTTATAGATTAAAGTTTAAAAGGGATTGACATGATTGTGGATTTTTTTTTCTTTGGAACTTAGTGGAGTAACCGAGTAAGTAGATAGACATAACAGTGGCAAAAAAGTTCGGGCTCGGCTCTGCTCTGCTCTGCTCGGAAAAAGCTCGAGTCGGGCCCGGCTCTGGCTCTGGGGAATCGAGCCCCACTTTGGGGAGTCGGCTCGAGCCTGGACCGGCCCTTGCCCGGGTGAGTCTCCTATTAAATAAAAATAAATAAATAATTTTTTTTTTGAAGGCAGCCTGCAGACAGGTTGCAACTTGCCTGTTGCACGAAGCTAGCAAGCTGCCTACAACAGGCAGGCAGCTATTTTTAGCTGCCTACAGCTAAGAAAAAAAAAAATCAAAAAATTCGAGCCGGTTTGGCCCGCTAACGCTCCGGCCAAAAGCTCGGGCAGCCTCATTTTTTTTGGTCGGGCTCGACTCGTTGACATCACTAGATAGACATAGTTGATTCAAAGTATATAAAAATAAAACTAAATTTGTCCTTAACAGCCAATGAGGAAAATGTTGATATAGTAGGATTTGCAATTATGATTCTCGTTCATGTTGGTGGACCTCATAATGCACGATGGAACTTGTGAAGACCTTGTCAATACTTTATGAGCTTTTCTAGAGAAAGGAAAAGTGAAAAAATAAAATTCAAATAAATAAAGCGAAAAGCTAGAAGTCGAGAGTACGGCGTTTAATCTTTGTACATAGTACACGTCAAAAAAGATTCAAATTTGAAATTCTTTAAAGAAGCTTCGAATTAATTGGTATTTTTCAAAGACTATGAGCATATTCAGAAAGACTAAGAGCAACAAATATATCACTTTTTTTCCGATATGAATTTATCTACATTCAAAATAAGTTAATATAATCCACACATTTGGATCTCATCTCTAAGATACGTCACTCTAAACATACTCTACATACGCAGTGATTTTACCCGACCTTTAGAATTTTTCTTTTTAATTTAATTATTTTGATAATTGGTTCGATCTCGATTTGTTTTGTTAACTCTTAACGTTTTCTGGGTCAATGTTTGGACCAATTTTGAAAAATATCGATAGCAAGTTGCAATATTTCAAAGCCTAATTATGTAATTGCAACATGTCAAAATATTAATAAAAAATAAAAAATTCTTTAAGGAATATAATATATTACTCGAATTTGTTTCTAAAATGGCATTTATTAGTCAGTTGAAAATCTATTTTGACTAGAGTCAACGTCCACTAAATTCATCACCGTCGTCGTGGTCAAATTGGATACGTCCACATCAAAGTCAAAAGTTGACGGGTGGCACGTCATGACATGTCAGTCAAAATTATGGGAATAAAATATTATTATTCTAATTGACACGTTTTATAAATCTCTCTCAAGTTTTCAACTTTTAAATGAGTAAGACATTCCGTATCATTTAATAAATTATTTTTTTATTAATTAGTTTCTATTGGATCTAGAAGTGAGTTGGTGGATGTGACTCATATCCTACCAATTCTCTTAAACGACGAATTATAATTATGATTAAAGACTTATGCTAATTGTAATCTCAGATGATTTTTCAATTATTATTAGAAGTGAGTTGTTGGATGTGACTCGTTTCTACCATTTCTCTTGAATGAAGAATTTATTGACGATTGATGACTTATGCAAATTGTAATCTCAAATGAAATGGATCCCACAGCATTCGACCAACCAACCAACTACTCGATAAAATGTCTTCCCTTTTCCCTTTTGGTCTTTGGGTGGACGGTTGGGTTGGCAAATCGGCGGTGATGTTTAGCATCAATCTCACTGTTATATTATTTTATTTTTAGTAGATTTTGATAAAAATTGATGAAATGTGATTAAAAAGTTGTGAATTTAATGAATTACTCGATTAAAAGTAATTGTTGACTTTAATTTCAATCAAAATCTAGAATTTAATTCCTACAAAACATGGGCTTATATATGATATATCAACATGTAGCCGTTGCTCAAAATGCAATCCAACTTCGGTAAACAATGTGGACGTTTCCCACTGTCACATTGACTGGTTGCGTTTGATAGTAACTCATACGTTTATTTCCTACAAAACTTTGGCTTATATATGATATATCAACATGTAGCCTTAGCTCTAAATTCAATCGAACTTTGTTAATCTATGTGGTCGTTGCGTTTGAGAGCAACTCATACGTATCATGAATACCAGATAACAGTATTTTACTTGATATAGCTAAAAGTTTATTTTTAAAGTAATGGATTTGATCTAATACCCACGGTGAGCATGAGTTATAACGCCCATCGTGAGCGTGACAGCATCTGATATGGTGTTGTCACATCCACGATAGACATTAAAACTCATGCCGAGGATAGACATTAGATCATTTTTGCTTGGAGTAATTCTACTTATAAAGAATGGTTAGCACCAATTTAGTAATGGGGCGGCCGTGGTGGGATAGCTCCAAGTTTTCGGACAAATTAAATAAATCTTAAAAATGGCTGAGGTAGACCTCAACACCGACCATATGAACTAGATTACGTGTCTTAGGCTCTTATCATCAGATACTTGTGCTTTTATATGTGAGAATTTGCACCTCAGGCTATGACTGTCTTCTGCTTATTTTCACTCAATCCAACTCCTTCTGGTGTAATCTGATCTTCCCATCCACCCACTTGTCTCTACAAACTCTTCTTCTTCTTCCATTTTTTTCCCACAAAATTCCATTAAATGTACAAAAGAAAACGAATTTCGTTTCTTCACATTGAAGAAGCCAAGTTAGACACCGACTCTCTTTAATCTGGCGACTGCTGTATTCTATATTATTAATTTCATTATCCCACAAAACTTTCAACTCTCAATTTTCTATATAACAGTTCAGTTTAAGGTTTTCTTGTCAACTTTCTTGAATACGCATTCTAAACAAAAATTAATAATTTTTAGTAGTATACAAAAGTATTTTCGTATATTCAGTTATATTTTTATATATCTTGATTGTTCTATACAGGATTGTTTCAGTTGTATTATTCCTTTCAGTATTTCTATCTCGAATTCTTCGTAGTTTTTAACTTTCTTGAATCGTTCAAGGTGGCGAATTTAAGAGAAAACAGTGACAAGAATAGTGTTGAAAATGCAGGGAGACCACAATTCCGAAGGTGGGAATAATGTATTGGATTCATTTTTTTCACCTGGTTTTAATAAAGAGCAAGAGATGTCGGCAATGGTGGCAGCTTTGACTCACGTGGTGGCGGGTGATGTGAATGAAGAGGTGGTGGCGGAGGCAGGCGGCGGAAGTGGTGGTGGTGGCAGCACTGCGGCTGCTAGTTCTACATCTGCATGGGCGTGGAGTGTTGGAGATAAGAGGGGACGTGAAGAGCAAATGAATGAGAAGTTTTCTGAACCAGTCCCAACAGTTTGCAGTGAATACAGTAATTTTTCTATCGGAAGTTCCAGTATAGGGTCAGGTACGGTATATATTCAAAATTCATATTTTCGTCACAAATTATTATACAATGTGTATGTAGGTGTAAGGTGCATCATCTTAGATAATTTTGCATGCAAAAATGTAATGGCATGTTTAATATGATGTTCTTCATATAGCCCTGCTCAATTTAGTTAAAAAGTCAATAAAAATTGAAGTTAATGTTTCAATTTAATCGCACATTTCATCAATTTTATTAAAATATACGGAAAGAATATAATTTTAGCAAAATCAATGGGGTCCATAATTGGATAGTAGCTAGAGTGCAGAGTGCTTGACAGAAGCATGTGCATAGGCGATGAACTGCACGTGGAGGCACTATGTCCTTCACAACAAGACATGCATAGCAACGTCAGACTCCAATGTCGTGCAATATAGTCTGGCCCCTTAGAAACACGGGCTTGCCGTGCAACTAGACTTGCGTGATTGACACCCTCACCCCACCCTACCCTACTACCCTGATGACACACAGGATTGGCAATTGCTAGAGTGCATTATTCTTTTTCTAATTTTCTTCTTTACCTTACAAAAGAAGCCGAAAAGTTTTTTAAAAAAATCTTTATTTGAGACTTCCATTGATCTAATAATTAATTTATTTAATGTTTGAAAATCTCATGAATTCCTTTTTTATTCTTGAATTTTTTACAGCTGCAGAAGGATCTATGATTCAGACAAGTGCAGTATATACCTACATTCCCACGCATGACAACAACATAGAATACCACGAAGGAATCCCAAGAAGAAAATACAGAGGAGTGAGAATGAGGCCATGGGGGAAATGGGCTGCTGAAATAAGAAATCCATATAAAGCTACAAGAGTTTGGTTAGGCACATTTGACACTGCAGAGGATGCTGCTAGAGCTTATGATGAGGCTGCTTTAAGGTTCAGAGGCAACAAGGCCAAACTAAATTTCCCAGAAAATGTCAGGTTATTGCCATCTTCTTCGTCCACCTCCGTGTCCCGGTCGAGCGTTTTGTTTCCTCCGAATACACTTTTTTCAATTTCAACTTCATCCGAACCCATTGTTCATACTCGAGCTCAAAGTATTATTATTCCCAAGAGACACGAGTTCATGAACCTTGATGATATTCAAAGACAGCCCACGAGTTCGTTGGATCAGTTGTTTCAATCATCGACATGTTCGACTTTTCAATCTTCATCTCCGTCTTTGTATGATCGCACTATTTTTCCATCGACGACCTCTTCTCCGCTGTTTTTTCCAGCTCAGCCAAGGGATAATCTCATAGCAGCAAACAGTCCAAGTAGTGAGGCTGATTTTTCTTGGGGGGATTCAAGTCATCAGACTTCTTCAGGATAATCCAATACTTGAGGCACGATTAAAGAAGAGAAAGAGGCCAATATCTTGCATGTCGTCATGTTCGGTACTATCTAATACTATACGCCAAACATGCTGTAGTTTCATTTTCTGATTTTGTTATTGAGGCTTGTAATTCTGCTACAATTTTTTTATCAGCTGCTCCTGCAAAAGCCAAATAGAAATAGTAAAAGCCTGATTCGATCAATCCAATTTCTTGATATTTTTTTTTAATTAATTTCTTGTATTATTCATCAAAACTAGCTGCAGAAAATTGCTGTGTGCCTTTCTTGTAGTAAAAAAGGTACCGTGCGACAGTAGTATGTGGTCGAAATTAAGACATTTAACTATAACACTCGATTTTTAAGGACTTCCACATTTTTAAGGAATATACCATTAAGAATTGAATTTCAACTCCAAATACTTAATTTGCAAGAACTAATTCAGTCATTTTCAGTTGGGTAGAATGTAGCTAGGGATATGGTGATATTTTCTCCTCCCTTTTACATTAAAAATCACTTATAAGCAAGAAGTTATTTTGATGGTAATCCCTCATTTTCAGTTTGATGTGGATTATTATGAAGTAATGAAAAGATTGCACGATATATGCTCTTTTTGATTATACTAGTGTGGTTAACGTGCCTTGCACGTTAGTTAGTTGTTTAATGTTGAAAATAAATATATGTAAATTTTAGAGAAATTTATTTGTAAACATTTTACATGAAAGATATTCATAAGTTAATTCGAATAAACTCACTTGCCGTCTATATTCTTTGCATCTTTTCAATTCTTCATATGAACATTTGATATTAATTGTATTAAACGTTTTGTCACAAATGTTTTATTAACTAAATATAATCAATGATTTAATGATTTTCTTTTATATTAGGTTGTAAATGTTTTAGGAGCTTAATGAAGAGTTAATTACCCATTTTTGACACATTTTAGCTAGTTATTTGTTTAGATTCAAATTGTCTGTGTTAGTAACCTAATTACATTAGTTTAAAGTTCTAATGATGAGAACTGTGATTTTTATTTTTATGTCATTTTTAATCATATAATCTAACAAGACAACCAACTCCTAAAAACAACATAACCAATCGTCAACAAGTTAGAGATTGAAAATACTAAGATTTCTATGCAGACTTGCTACAGCTATATTAGAAAAACACTGTTAAAAAAAATTCATAAAATTGAAAATCCACCACTAAACCAACAATAAATTGATAATAAAAATTAAAGATGAAGGCGGCAAGGAATACAATCCATATAGGAAAATGACTTATGTTTGAGAGTAGCTGGACATTTTTATGCATTGAGGACTGAGGGATTACACCATTTGATAGAGGAATGCCAACAAGACTACAAATTAATATTTTTTCCAAATGGTAAATCAAGATTATATCATAACTGAACTATGAAATCATAGATAGGAAGTCTTGAATTCAACAAAGTGAATTTAGCATACCAAAAATCTGAAAATAGTAAGTCATAATGGAAGGAATATGACTTCCTCAAATTGAATTCTTTCTGCTCAATCAATTGATAACCTACACTATGATCAAAATCATGAAGTACTACAATCATTGTTGCTAGAATATGTGGAAGCCATAAAAAAAATGATAAAATGCTAGTAGACTCAAATTTTATGGTGGCCTAGCACTACAAACCATAGCCCCATGATAAACACTCTGCTTGGCCCATAAAAAATGAAACTCCAATGTTAATCCAACATGTTCTAAAATGAATAGATCTCATGGAAGTTCATAGTGTAACCTAGGCCTATTTTCTTAAAATGATTTGATGAAGTTGGACAGAATTTTAATGTCTTTCGAAGGTCGGACTGGACACTTTTTGTGACTAAAATTTATCTTACTCTCATGATTAAACCGTATTTAGAACTTCCCGTATTTGAAGAAGGCTAATCGGAATTTTTTTTCACATTTCGGTCGACCGAAGTATCGACCGAAATTGCCAAAATTGACAAAAACACGTTTTTTTAGAAATGTGGCATCAATTTTCATCTTAAAAGACCACCCACATTCTTCGAGAATAAAAACTTGTTCAACATCCAGCTTCATCAATTTTTTTCTTCAGAAACATAAATTTCAAAGTATCAACGAAGGTAGGTGGAGGTGCAAAAATGTGTTATATTTCGTGTTCCAATTATAGTTTTCATTATATCTATGTTGTTCTTCCAAATGCAATGGTACCTCCGGGTACGGTGCTTCGGCACCACAATAGTACAACAGTTAAATGAAAGAATGGTACCTCCGGGTACGGTGTTTTGGCACCTCTACAGTTGGATGATCATTCTCATGCTCGAGGTGTCATGTTAAGTCATGACTCAACAGTTATTGAATCCTTCTACGTGACGGTTTTTCTTTTTAAAAAAAGTTACAGATCGAAAATGTATAATTTGATAACGAATGCACCTATGATATTGTTGCGTTTTTTATATCGCAAGTGTACGATATCGTAGCAAGTAATATAGTGGACCTTTGAGTCCGGATTATCGTTCCCATGAGAACAATACTTTAGGTATTAATTAGATTTTTCTAACTCTTATTTGACAAAAAACAAGTAAATAATTATGATGATTTTGATTCACTACTTTTAAAAATTGAAAGTATAAAAAACTTGCAAACAATGGATAATTGGAGAGACAAATAAGCAATGAATATTAGGGCATAACAATTTCATCTATTGATCATATTTATTCTTAATTCAAGATTCACAATCTAATGTAGTGTTCGATCGAATTCTTCTATTGTATTCAATTTATCAATCTCGAGTTCTCATTGAGTCTATTTAACTAGTACAATTCCATATCTCTATGCGAATTAATTTTAGTTAAACGAAACACTAGATCTAAGAATTCAAATTATGACCGCAATAATTAATATAGGTATCTCTATACGTTATAATAATTTAGCGGATTTTATTATACGGTCTAAATCTCAAACTCACCTCTTGATTCGTAAGAGATTCACTTAATCATCAAATTATTGATTATGTAATTTAATGCATTAAATTCATAATAAAATCAACACATCGATAAATAAACCACATAAATCTTGAATATAAAAATAAAGGATCACAAGTCGACTAAATTGTATTCCCTAATATAAAAATTAATTATTCATGCTGGAAAAACAAAAATAAGAAAAAGTGCAACGACATCACCGAAAATTGACCAAACCTGAGAATTTCTGGTATTTATCTTTCCTTTTCTCTCTCTACCTGCGTAGCCTTTTCTCTTCCTCAGCTTTTCCGTTTCTTCCTTCTGCCCCTTTGACTTTTCTATTTGAAGGTATGTATATATCTTTTCCCAATGCAACCAACAACTGTGTTTGTGTATGTGGAAATTGATTTCAGCCACCACCCCTCTCTTCTCCGTCCTGTATGTATATTATATATTAAATTTCAGCCCAACAGATCCCTCTTTCTTGCGGCAGGTTCCTGAATGTTTTTTTTAAGTTCAGCCCTAGCACCCCCCAGTTTCCGTATGCCTGTGTAAAATATATATCCATCTCAGCCGAAAATCCACTTTAGTATAATTAGAATTCCAATTGCAATTAAAGTTCTAATCCAATTGGAAGTCCAGTTAGAAGCCCCAGCAAAAATTGAATTTGAATTCCAAAGCAAGTCCAATTGAGATCCATTTAATGTATAATTTTCTTCAAGTCCTTCAATCTTTCGAGTTAATTCAATTTAGTCCTCGTACTTAAGATTTTGCCATTTTCATCACTTTTTGCTCATTTTCTCACATTCTTCATCAAAGATTGAGTTTTATCTACAAAATACAATATAACATAAATTAAGTAGAATTTAATCCAAAAGACAATAAAATATCATAATTTAGGGCCACAAATAAGTGTATAAACTACACTTATCAGATATCTATTGAGTTTCAAACTCATGGATTTTATCCCCTTACTATAGGTTGATATGATGCGTGGGACGTGTTGATTGTACATGTTTAATTTTTCTTATAAAAAGTTTACATTGTTTAAGTACATTTCTGTACACTATACGTAGTACTATCCTGCGAGTATTTTTCCTTTTCCTTTGAATAAAGTATGTTCACAAGTGTTACGTGTTTTTGGAAGAAAAAATATTTACGCATTATCGCTTACAAACAAAATGTCAACAATTAAAAACTTGCACTATCTCTCAAGGGATTTCGTTTTTTTCCTCCCCTTTTAAGTAAAATTTTAAGCTTTCCGCTAAAAAATTGTTAATCATTAAGTCAACGGCTACAGTTAAGTGATGGTTCGATCCATACGGGTCGGGGCGTTACAGCATGGTCGCGTTTTTTTGTAACGACCCGACCTCGCGCCAGAGCCGTTATCTTACGTACTGTCCGCTGTGGGAGAGCCCATGCCCATCTTGCCCCTCACGACTTTCTGACACGTCCCCCAAAATTTGAACCAAAGACCTCTATCATATGAGAGACTTAAGTTGAATCTTGGTACCAATTGGACAATTTGCCCCATTGGACAACTTACCCAATTGGTATCAAGATTCAACTTAAGTCTCCCTATGATGGAGGTCTTGGGTTCAATTCATGGGGGACGCTGTGAGGAGCAAGATGGGCCTGAGCACTCCCACAGCGAACAGTACATAAGATAACGGCTCCGGCGCGATGTCGGGTCGTTACAGAATAAAAGCTCCAAGTATATAAAGAATGGATACGTTTAGCATGTACCCAACAATTAAATTATGAATTTACAATGAAGTTTTCATTCTATATAGAACTAAAGCACTTAATTAATAGATTTAATCAACATGCATGCCTTAATGATAGTCCAGTTCTCATAGGCTACCGGTAAACACAGTTTAAGTAACGTCTTGGAATCCCTTTTGAAACACTCCCAGGATGTATGTAAATCGTGGGGTCGAGAGGATAGCGCCCCTTGTGGGAGTTTGGGGGCAAAGCCCGTTTCTCCATGGCGTACAGAGACACGGGGCCGTGCGCACTGAGACACGATGGAGATACGGAGCCTGTGTGCCCCGTGTCTCCGAGCTTGGATGTTTTATACACATTTAATATGTGTGTTTTCATACTGTAAGCACATGCCATTGTTTTCCTTGCACTTGAAGCCTACTGCAGTCGTAAGACATCTATTTTTGTGAATAAGAGGGGTAAATACTACAAAATCAAATGGATGTGTGAACAATATGAATGGACACTCCTAAAAATGTAGGAGTATCATGGACTACTTTTCCAGAACCAAGTTGAAGAATTTAAAAAATACACAAATCTTCATCTCTGGGATTACAGAGACGAGAAAGCTTTCAATTGTTGCATTCCACAAACCCAAAAAATTCTTGATGCCTTATAGGCGGCATCTTTTGTGATTATTATTCTCAAAGATCTTTGCAAAATATCTCCCAATATTCTAATTAATTTACCAAAGGAAATAACCAACTCAACTGTAAGTAAACTTTCATAATAAAAGAATTAAACAAATAACAAAACAATTTGCCTTTTTTCCTAATAATTAACTCGAAAACAAACTCTTACCCATAGGTTCCTTCACCAATCTACTCTAATTTCTCGAAGCATTCCACGCTTCGCGAACCCCAAGACGGTGACTCCTCCACATTCAGTTAATTATTTGTCGTCGCTGCCATTAATATGTATATAAGTTCTATTATAAGAAAATTGAAGTTAATTTATGGGTTAGAAATGGATTAAGAAAAGGAATTGTGAATAAAATTCAGAAGTGAAGGTTGATTGCTGACAGAAAGCGTGCGGTCGGGGGCGGTGGGGATGCTATGTGTAGGATTATTACTCAAATCTCGACGATAGCCGGAGGAATTAAAGGGTATTGGGGCTTGAAATTTGGGAAAGAAATAACAAAATGTATGACAGTCAGGATAGTGTAGTTGCGTGTGAAAATGGAGAGCGTGAAGTGAAAAAAAAATTGAATTATGACGACAATGGAAAATCGCGACGCGTGACGTGCCAAGTTTTTGCCTCTTTTATTTTATAGTGATAGGGTTGTGATTTATTTGAAGGATTTCATAATATTATAATGTTATATTTCTTGAATATAACTAAAGAAATGATAACATAAACATCTTTATCGTGTATTGATTAAATCACATTTATATTTAAAAATGCAAACAAGCCATCATTAGTTTTTATGTTTTTGGTATCACTATTTCGAGGTACTTTTTAAGTTGTATCGTCGCCTAACACGACTAGAATGCCTTTGAAATAGTAACAATAATATGGTGTTTGATACACCAAATTAGAAATGAATAAAATAAATAAGATTTTAACTTCTTTTCTTCTTCAATACCGTCTAGTATTGTCCCATCTTGATCAAATATGCCGTAATGGAAAGCCAAAAGAAAACGAAAGAATCTATCGCAATAATCCTCCAACTATGCCTTCTACTATCAAGAATTGGCATTCCAACAAAAAGTTTAGCTCACGAACAAATATATATTTTAAATTAGTTTTGATTTAAACTCTCATTCTCTCATTCCTTCTATCCAAGCTACAAGAATAATCCTCATATCTGAATGAGGATATCTGTGGTTCCATACCCAATCCAAAGTCAGCCTCGGAGAACTTCTCCGGTGGTGTATCTTGTCCTCTGATTTGAATATCACTCGCTTCTTCAGATTTGCGCCGTTGAGATACCTTAAGAAGATCGTTGCCTATCTCAAGATCTTCTTCTACCTTAGCTCGTCTGCCCTCATTGGAATTTCTTTTATGCGCTGCATAAGTGGATCCCCTTGAAGTCTCCGTCGTATCTTCATTTGCATTCGCACGAAAATCATGTATCGAAGGTTCTGTTCTAGTGCAAAATACTTCAAGAAAATTGTTCATGCATCCCCTGTCATATACGTTCATCCTGTTCTCCGCTCTGTGACGAAAATTCTCGTATGTTGTCTGCAAAAGACCACTACAAAGTCAGAGAATATAAACAAAGAGAAACATGTTAGGTATCAAGCCATAGTTCCAATCACAAGAGCAATAATGAACTGAACAAAAAATAGAAACACATACGTATAGCTAAGCCATTCACCCTCAACGTCAGTGCAAAGTTTTCACTACAACCAAAAAGGAAATTAGAAAGTTTATTTTTCCGCATACCTCTGTCTCATGTTATAGAAATATGGCCCCTTCAGGTTCCCAGGACACTAGGGCGACCTAATACAAAGATATGAGTACCCAATATACCCGACAATAAAATACCCAAGATCACGAGATGAGTAAATATAATTAAGGTCCACAAGGTCAAATAGAACATATAAGAGGTACATAGTAGATACCAAAAAGTGTTGGGCTTATCGTTTTAGAATTGTCGATGGATCCTTAATACAAAAGGTACCCCAAATCATTAACATTTTGTGTGAGAAGGTTATGCAGAAGAATGAAACAACCATATCTTGCTCGCTGTCCACGTTTCGTCAATTATTAGTTTCTTTGTTGATCTTTTGGCCACAGGAGAAAAAAACATAAGAAACAAACAAATTGGCACAAGTTTTTACACTTTCCTGAAATGAAAGCACCAACTCCAATCACTTAAGGAAAATGGCAAGAAAGTGTGTACAATTCACGATAAAGCTCTTTTGAATTCAAGTGTATGTCAACTTAAGCCCCTGTTTGAGCTACATTAAAATTCACATTCTCATTCTTCTACTCATTTTCAACCACATATTCTTTAATAAAATAATATTTTACATCACATCAATAACTTTTCCTTCTTTTTCAACCATCTATTCTCCATCAAGCTACTATTCCAAAATACATTCTTCCAAAATAATGTGGCTCAAACACACCCTAAAGAACAATTTTCAGCCTAAATGTTTGGTTAAACTTAAAAAAACATTAATTTGAACAAAATGCCGCTATAGTTCAGGGTAACTACGTTTCCACGACTTATCATTTTAAACTTAGCACTATGGCCCCTTCTTTGCACCTTCCTTTGACACTAGGACCTATTAGTTGGGCACGTGCCTCTTACATAGCATAATTTATGAGGATAAATTTGTCCCTGCACTTAATTTTTTTTTAATATAATATAAAATAAACTATCCCTAAAAATTCTTCTTCAACACCCCAAGCCAACCATCCCCAGAAAAGAGTAAAAATCCAAGTATAAGTTCAGATAGCAAGTGCAATTGATAGTAATTTGATGAGAGGACAATGAAACGGGGAGTGCAGAAGAACACACACTAAGAGGATGCCGCTGCCTCCATGGATATTATGGATTTTTTTTTTTTTGGGGGGGGGGAAGCTATATGGCCAAGTACCCAAGTACTCGCTGTTAAGTGTTAACCATGCGCTACCTGAGAAAAACAAGGGTGGTGACCTAGGATGGGCTGCACAGCCTCTTTGTGGGATGCTGACTCGTGGTTCGAAAGGCAGCAGCAGGAGGAGGAAATGCAGTGGCTTCAAGAAGAGAATTGGGCGCAATACAGGAAGCTAAAGAATTACACAAGGAGAGAGAAGGTAAAAAGGAAGAAGGTGCTGATTTTAAGGATGATCCCATGGCCAGGGCTGAAGTAGAGGTTTTGAAACAGAATGCCGCTTAGTTTTGAATCAGCAGGCAATGTTAATTTAGTGGGGTTGCAATTACTATCGATGTTATCGTAATGGATTTTGTTTACTTAAACCGTTGTGTTTGGAAATTTTTGAGTTTATGTCCATCGCAAGCCAAAATGCAGATTCAGCATGCTGAAAATTTAAGAAGTCGTCTTACCCTTGGGAGAATTGGCAGCTCTCAAGTAGATTGTGAATCTCATGACCTTTGTTGGGCTCAACATGCATCCACTTACGTCACCTCAGCTTGTGATGCTCAAACTTGACACAATCTTCCTTTAAAGCGTAGAGGGTGTGATCTTTCCCAATTCCAAAGTAATTTCCTGGATGAAACTGGGTTCTTCTTTGCCAAACAATAATGTTTCCAGGTATCACCCTTCTCCACCAAATTTTTTAACCTACATTCTTCGGTAGTGAGTCGGACCATTTTTTACGAATCCTATTATCTTTTTGGTAGCCCAGCACCTGAAGATCTAGATCAATCCCAATCCAGATGCATGGCTAGCAGAACTATATACAGGTGATCTTGTAATCAGATCCTTGATACTTAAATTTCTATAAACTAAGGTTGCAAAATTCCTTGTATCGAGCCTGAAATCAATTTTAGACTAAATATTCAGTTCTTGTTTCTAGAACCACTCTCTCTATCTCCCTCTATATATAATGGTTTGGGGAATGGGTTTCTTGCACTCTCTTGGATAGAGGCACTGGTGGTGGAGTGAGGGGTGCAGACGTGCAGTAGTTCGAAGGGATTTGGGGAAGAGGTGGCTTAGGTTGGATTGAGGGTGTTGAAGAAGAACTTTTAACGGGTGGATTTATTGTTTTTAATATGTTAATAAGAACCAAGTGCAGAGACAAATTTGCCCTTATAAATTATGTCATTTGAGGCATAAGCGCCCAATTAATAGTTAAAATAGACAGCAACTAATAGAAGGTCTTACTTTCACAAAGGAAGGTGCAAATAGGGGCCATAATGCCAAGTTGAAAATGATAGGTCCTGAAAATGCAACTACCCCAAATGATAGGGACTGTTTGGGCAAATTAGCCCTTAAAAATGTAAAGTTACTTCTAACTTTTTGTTTCCAAAAGCTATTGAGATATGTTACCTTTTATTAATGTTACAAAAATCAATATTCATTTATTTGATAGTAGCTTTTAGGTTACTGTCCAAATAAGTAACTTGTATTTAACTTTGACAAAATGAAAATTTATTATATAAAATTTACTTATAAGTAAACTTTTATAGCTTAGCCAACCATATATGCTATGATGCACCGACACGGACACATGTGTCCGACATGATACGTGTCAGATACGTCGACACGCTATTTTTAAAAAAAGTACCAACACGATACGTCATCGAAACGTTAATTAAACTCTTAAAAGTTCTTTATTTATATAGTATAAATTTAGTTTTATATTTGTTATTAATTTTTCTTATTGAAGTCTTTTAAACATGAGTATGTATTTATTACTTGCTAATAACTTTGAGTTAAAAATATATAATATTTCTAATATAAAAAGAAAAATGATTACGGTAGAGTGTCCGAGAAGTGTCGGTATCGACTCGTGTCGGACACGGACACGCTACCCTAATTGAAGTGTCCGTGCTACAAAACATATATATCTCGTGAAAGAGATTCCAGCTATGTCCATAAACCCATCCTTTCATCAGTTAAGAGAAAAACTGTGCCTTTATTAGTTCTGAATCAATAAACCTTCCCACAAATTGGACAAGATTAATGCTGGCATCGGTTCTATGCAATGTGAATAAAAAAGATACTATTAAATATAATTAAAGAAACAGCATTTCAAGTCAATATGAAATGAGGTAGAGAAAAAGTGCACAAACACGACAAAAGAAAAGAACCTGGTTTGAGCCGATTAGGTACAAATGAAAGCCGGTAAGACCCCCAACAAACCATAGCAATACAAAAGAATACACCATCAATACAACTGATGCCGGTGATTCTTTCATGGCCATCCAAACAGTTCCATGTTCATCCACGAGAAATTTCAAGTACAAAGCTGACATCGAAAAGATGAAGATGCAGAGAAGTGCCGAGGAAGAAACAAAGAGAAAGAAAGAACGATAGTTCCGCTGCACATAAACAAGTTGTTATCTTCTTGATATCATATTAAAAATTAGAACAGAAGCAACAAAGAAAAGTAACAATGAATATATTTTCCTCATTTTTTTATCTTCTTCTCAATTAAGCAACTTACATGTTTGGCTAAGCTTAAAAGGTTTACATATAAGTAACTAAGTAAGAGGTACAATGCAGCATCTATTTAACAAACAACATAAAGCTATCTTACTCAAATCATTATATGCAAATAAATAAGAAAAAGCTGCACAAACACTTTTTTTTACAAGAAGAAATTAATTAAATGTTCTCTGCAGTTTGATCCACTAGCATTTCTACAAAACTTGAATGCATTTTGGTACACAGTTTGGACAGGACTGGAATACTGTTTAGAACCATCCAATTCTCCCGACCAAGCATCCCGTGTAGGTAATTTATTTTATAACAGTACACACTGAAGTTTTGAAACTCATTAAAATGATGGAAAACCCTCAGAAATCCAACTTCCTGAGAAATTACATGGACACAAAGATCCACAAGAGGAGAGAATTGCTGACACCAGGAAACAATTAGCTCCAGAACGATATACCTTTCCAATGCATTGGCCAACCCAAGGGCAATGATGATCAAATCGCTCCACGCAATTATCACAAACTGAGCAATGAGAACATCTTGGAGGACGATAAACCATGCATGTTTCACAATATTTAACCCTAACGGGAAGGCCATTGACAAAAACTTCTCTAGTGCGAGGCAATTGCGCGCTTTGTGAAAGTCTTCCACCAGCTTCAACAGAAGCGGACGATTCATACCCAAGCTCATCCTCAGGAGGACGAGAACTACGCGGTACGATGCCAGGATCCCGAGATGAGGTCAAAAATAGGAGGAATAATACCTATTGTAACCAAGTAAAACATTAGCCCTATTAAAAATGAGAAATATTTATGCATAAAGAAAAACGAAATTAGTTGAGGACTCGGCTAGAAGATGCAAGTTTGGGAGAAAATATTTATCCTATGTTTGGCTAATGTTTATAAACTATTTATAATTGGTGAAACCATTTTTTATCCACACATTTCGTGGGACTCACGAATACTACATACTTATTCACCACTCGTTTCTATCTATTTATAATTTAAACCATTTATAAACACTTTCCATGCATGCTTTTAAAATTGGTATTCATCACACAATAATCCCTTTTTCATTAGAATGTAACAAGAGGATAACCTTTTTAATTTCAATGTATTTCCAAGTGATTAATTTCATGTTACAACCTCAGGGCAATGAGAAAGAGTAGAAAGTCGCTAAAACTTGTTAATTTGAAAGATGCAGGGAATAAAGTTGAGTGGCAACTCCAATAATGTACAAAAATAACTAAAGCACCATAAAGAAGATCCAGATAACTAACGTAGATAGTGAAGACAATCGTGACAACCAAAATTGCATATCCTGCATTATAAGCTGGAATTTCATGAAGAAGGTTCCCTGCTACAAGAGTACAAAAGATGACAACAGGGACCAGGATAAGCAATAAGGTAACGATCAATGACCTAGCATCTGGCCCAAATATCAGCCTCCCACCGAAGAAGAATTTCTGCAGATTCAGGAAATCATGGAAGTTAAATATTTATAAAACTTCATACGCATCAACAACAACATAATGCAATAGTATATATTCATCTTCACTAATGCAGCAAACTTTCCAAGCTGTAGCATATTCTAACTTCTAAGTATGTTTTAATTTTTCTTGTGTAATCTCATTCAAAGGTCAGCAAATTGAACGGAACGTCTCTAGGAAATTTTATCATCTGAGGGAGCATTTTATTTATCCTAGAAATAGAAGTAAACCTGCCAGATTCAGTCCAAGAAACCATGAACTTATTTCTAATGGGGTTTCACCCTGAGGGAACGGGAGTTGGATATTGGAAAACCAAACCTGCATTAACAAAAAAGTGGCCGCTTTCCATTTAATATTACAAGCAATGGATTAACAAGGAGATGCAACAAACTTAAACTGTTGCATGGAAACATAATGGTGTTTCGAAAAAATAAATTAGTTGTAATAAAAACCTCCCCCCAGTTGACAAAAAAAAAAAGGCTCACTATCAAGTAAATCAGAAAACAGTTCTTTCATCCGAATCAGATGGTACAGAGAACAAATTCCACTTACAGAAAACTGTAAACAAAGTTTCAAGTAATAACAAACAGAATTTACTTCTTTTTGCACATTTATTTATTAATCCTCCTTTTCACGTCCTTAACAACTTCAATCAAGCCACCATTGCATAATAATAGAAAAATTATTCCATGATACTGCTCTTAATCCAAGGAAACTAAAACTAGCTCAAATGCCCCACTACAACTACTCATCCACCCAACCCCACCCGTACAAAAACACATGGCTTCTATTATTATTTTGACCATCTAAATTACGTACTTCCTAATCAAGATCATCCTTCTTTGTATACTGCATTCTTAACGGTTATGTCAAGAAGTCCACCTCTTTTCCATTCAGTGGTTTCCAATGTTCTTGAGAAATGAATCGAGTAAATTCCACTAATCTTACATTCCCCATACATTTTCTTTTGCGCAAACAATTCCTAACAACATTAAATAACCTTTCAAAAATGAACCTTAATCTCTATTAACTAAAGTATTATCCCTAGTTGGAAGTTGGAACAGCAACCACAAAATGGTGTACTATAGAACAAATTTAAGAAAGGAAAAAACTAACACCATTGCATTAAAACACAGACAGATAAGCTTCCTATAAAGTCCAAAGATAATTTGTGTAAACAAAATTCAAAACTCAATTCCACAACTTGGCCAATAATATCCCCCAAAAACTATTGAATTAAACCCTAACAAATAAACACAGGAACACTTTCTGCAAATCCCCATCTCATGTTTCACCAACTTAACAAGAATAACCCATCAATCTTTTTTGCAATTTAAGCAAAACCCTTTTCACAAAAGAGCAAAACAGGGAGTAAAATTCAGAAAAAAAAAAACTTACATTATTTCCTTTCCAAACCTGGTACAGGCGTTTGGACTTGGCCATGAAGCATGAAAAAGAATATATTTTTATCTTGTGTTTGTCAGTACACTACTATACTATGAAGAATTGCAAAAATAGAATCGAAGATTTGATGAAATTTAGGATGTTACACCTTTGTTTTAACCTTTGTCTTTTTCTTTTTTGGACATGAAAATTCGCGTCAAAATGGGCGGTCAGTGGTTCAAATCAAACGAGTGATGGTGGATTTCATCATGTCTTGGTTTGGAATCTTGAAAATTAAAATGCCTTGCTTTCGTGGGCCATCTCTTACTCACTACTTTTTTAACTTTTTTTTTTTTCCTTTTTTTATGAATATCACTTTTGTTTTTACACTTTAAGCATGCTTATGACGACCAGTCTAATAATCAAGGAATGTTTGGGAATCCCAAAGGATAATTTGCAATATTTCTCCCGAACTTATTGCTTTACCCAAAAGTTGATATTCACATTTTATTATGGTTACGAGATTAGTCTTCGACGATGAAATTGTTAGAAATTTGTTAAATAATCAATAGCTCTTGCTTGTGAAATTTTGGGATGCTCGATTATGCTTCCCAATTTGATTAATACACATAAATTTACAGCAATATTTTTCTGGGGATTACATGAAAAATTAACGAAATGTTGATAATCAATTTTTTTCTCTAAAAAAAAAATAATGTTATTCATCTCTACTGGAAATGAAAGTCTCTATGTGTTTTCATCCCAACTGAGGAGGAATAACACTACTCAAAAACTATACTAAGAATCTGTACAAGTGGATATGTAGATAATAATTAAATAGTAGTTATGAATGTGTGATTAAAATTAATATTTGACATCAACTGAAAATTATAAGCAACTTATAATGTTTCCCAAACAATTGACGGTTTAATCAACGGCAAGACTTTTACTAATAATAAAGAGCAATCGACATTCCACAGGAATCTTGCTTCTATCGATGTTCAATTACGATGTTCATAAACGAAGAGTTGCATTTTGGACTACATTGCTACCTCCTCCCCTTGTTCATCTGAGATCACTACACCAATGGTGAAAAATATGATCACCTTCTTCGTAAAAGCATCAATATTCAACTTGAGATTTTCGGTTAAAGGAGACATCCACCGCCTAGCCAGTGTAGACTTATCTTTCGCTGAATTCGCCTCGCTACAATATCCTTAGGACATCATCTCCCCTTTCATAGACCCGTGCATCACCCAATTTCTCTCCCTCCCTAGATGACCCTACGTTTCCTAATTAAAATGTAATAAAAGGATTTCACTTCTCAAAAATCAGGCTTGGACCAAGTCATCAGCCTATTAAAGTTTCACTTATCCCTTGAGCTACGTCTTTTTTATCTTATCCCTTGAGCTAAATTGATCGATCATTCTACAAAATACATGTTTAGAGCATATCCAATGGCGACATAAAATTGAATGTAAATTGATATCTCAAAAGTTACTTTTACATTCTGATACTTCTAAATCCAAATTTTGCTTTAATGAAAAATATATAAATCCATTTTTTACTTTTTGTAGATGTAAAAAAAGATATAAATATTGTTACGCCTCTTACGAAAATGCTTTGATCGTCACCTATGTGGCTGCCGCTATGCAAATAAGTAGGGTCCACATTCTATGTGTTTGTTATTGAACTGCCGAAGTGATATGGTCCTTATCTACGTTTGCCAAATCGAGGCTCTGAAATTGTACACCTTGGAAGATTGTAAGATGAGCAAAAAAAGAGGGAGCGACACTGCTAGAATACTATCGCATCATCTCGTCCTCGTTAAATAGACGATCTTTTGTATAAGGATCTAGCCAAAATAAAATCTACATGATTGATTGACGTGATGTCTGCGCAACAGACACCAATAAGTCAAATAACCAAATTCTCTCATTAGGGGTATTAAATGCTTGTCAACCTATGGACTGACTGATTGATGATGCCTCGTCCGTCGGATGAGTCCACATGTTCATTCATCTAATGGTCCTAAATCCACCTCTTTCCCTATAAATACACACACGACATCATTTGAAAGGTAATGCAATTCTACAATTCAAATATACCCTTTGCCTTATAATCAAGTATGTTATCCCATTTTCCTTCGACATTAACTAACTTGATCGTTGGGTTGCTTGTGATCGCTTCCACAATCATCGAAAAAAGACGCGAGTGACTAACGGTTTGCTGTCACGAGCAGAAAGCTATCTAATGGAGTATTTATATGTTGGCCACTTACGAAAATTGCGGTCAACAAATATACATTTATTTATTTTTTTTGCCGAAAAACACATTTGCATTTTTTTCATCTCTTTATTGAAGAAGTTTTCGATCACTTTAGAGATCTAAATCATAATCTAGATCTATTTTACACCACCATTGAATATGCTCCCATGGATGCCGTCACAAAAAAAAATTTATTAGAATTCCTTTCAGGATCATCAAGTTACTTGCTAACTCCATATACAGTGTAAAAAGGATTATTCTACTCTACCAGGGCCTACGTGGCCCCGGTATTGTAGCATAGCCCAAAAAGTATAGGATATTTTCTTAGCTGGCGTGTATAGTTGTGCACTAGTTAAAGTTCATTCTTGTTTGTCTTTGACACAGGACATTAGTAATGACAAGCAAATTCAAATTATAAAGTTAAAATCTTATTCTTCAATTAGTTGGAACTTTAGTCTCCATTTTAATTTAATTAAATTATGAAACTTGAGTTTCGTAGCAAAGACGAGATCTTGGTGGGATATGGATGTATTGATCCCCTAAAAAGGATAGAAATAAGCATCAACACATGGGTCCCTTCCCATCGATAATGTTAGTACTTCGAGCGCTCAAATTGAAAATGTTGTGCTTCTACACACGAAGGTTGTACTCGAAGGTACAAATGCGGGATACCTTTGGCCAGTTCTAAGAAGAACATTTTGGTCCCCTAGGAGACACTTGGTTCCTTGGAGATCCTTTGCTTCATGGCCTTATGATCACATTCTTTGGAGACTCTCTTACTCCATGTGGGAAACTTGTCCTTGCTCAATCCAGAGTAATGAGTAAGTTTAAATAGCTCAATCAACTAAGCTCATGTCTGTCTATTATTCTTTAAAAAGTAATTATAATAAATTCTACTTATTTTCAAATATACTCTTGGAATAAAATATTTTTCACGTAAATCAAGAATTCTTCTCTACTTTTTTATTTCACATTCTCCAAAAAAAACAATATTCCAAAATTCATTTTCCCAAAAAAGAATTGGATATCAAAGAGGGGCTAAATCTCTTTACAGCATTCTAAGATAACATCAATTATGAAGAGGATGTTTCATCTCAAATTCAAGAAACACATTTTGAGACACATAGATGCTCTGCATGTGCACACTTTATGCATCACAAATCGGAATTTACTCATAAATCAAATGATTAGCCTTGGTATCAACCTGAAAATAATTAATTTCTTTAGTAAGAAGATGGTTCTAAACTTAATTCTTAAACTATTGCATTGATTTCTACTAAAAAGGACTATCAAATTTTTTTTTAAAAACGAAGAGGTATGGACATTGGACACCTTTCTAATTCCCATAGTACTATGCTACCAGTAGCGCGTGAAAAAATAAAAATAAATAAATAAATAAAAAGCCGGTGATATTAGCAT